ACAGCATCAGCCTCTATATGAACAGCAAATGTTTTTTTGTTTTTTGTTTTTTAACCCTAATAGGATTAGTTGTTGGAAGCCAAGAAAAACCTCCTGTCTGGTGGAGAATGGATTTAAAAACTCATTTTTGCGAGAAGTAGTTATGTATAGTGGACAAAAAATAATTATATATATAGTACAGCACACAGAAGATGCTTAACCTCAGACACATGAGATGCATCAGAGAGAGCAAACATCCACAGCACTGTATCACAACCCTGCATGTTCTTCTGTTTTTGCTTCAAACATTAATGAGGTTTCTCGTTCTCTTTTTGATTCACCAGCTGGTTCAGGATCTACTGCTCTGGTTCCATACAATGTAGGCTTCTTTGCTAAAGTGAGGTTCTGCCCATCTGGCTCATTACTTGTAGAGTTTACTGATGTAGTCTTATCGTTAATTCTAGCTGAAGAAGACTGACCGGCCTTGGATCATTACAGCTTATTGAGGTTCTCCTCTACTCATTTATCACAGGTGGTTTCATTCTGGAGAATTTGGCTCCCAGCTTTCTTTTATTTGTGCATGTCATACAGGGTGATTAGATGGATTAAGTCACTGCAGGGTTCAGCATAATACTATCCTAATAGACATACACAGTAGAATATGTGTTAAGGGAGATGGACAGGTGTGGTTTGGAGAAGTGACGTACAAATATTCATTCATTATCAGTCAGTGGGGGAGGACACGGTGGCTTTATAACTCCAGGCATGTGGATGTTCTCACCAAGTTTTGCAGGTTTCATCCAGATATTTCACTTTCCTCCTGCTTTACAAAAATCATGCAGGCAGGCTAACTGGTGTTTTTTATATTACTGTCTGATTGTGAATGTGCCCTGTGATGGGCTGGCATTCCACGCCATCTGGTGTGTACCCCGCACTGGGTTGCATGGGGTAGTCTCCGGACCCCCCAAACCTTTGATAAGGTTTGATGGATGGATGGATGGATGGATGGATGGAAGGATGAAGTTAGTGGAGAAGGACAATCAGACCACCACTTGTAACATATACATTCATTCAGAACTCACATATACACAAAACATTCCATTATGCACAACCAAACACATAGACTACACTAATATACACACACACACACACGCACACTTTCCCTGCTCCATTGCCTAGGCACATCAAGTATGACATCACATGACCTTGACAGGCCTGCGGACATAAACAGTGCTTCTCCAGATGGTGAGATGGTGGAAGGCTTTTGTACAGAGGGCACAGAAGGAACATAGCAGTGCACTGTTTATGTTATCTACTGATGCAAGGTGGAAGGTAAATGGTATCTGAGGCAGTCACTGGTGACACACACACCACAAGTCCAGCGCTCATTTCACCTGTACCCCCTAGGCTTAGCTGGTGGAAAACGACGCTCTGCCCCCACCCAGGGGCGATTCTAGGTTTTTACCCTTGGGGGGCTTAGCTCCCAGAAAAAATACAGTACGTCACCTCCTTCCCCCCACGTGATTAAACATCCCCAACATACAGTTTGCCGAGCTAGGGGTATGAAATATTTATGAAAATACGAGATAAATCACTTAATGATTTCAGAAAAAATATTTTTACGGGGGACTGAGACAAAAAATAGGGGGCTGAAGCCCCCGTCAATAGGGCTTAGATCCACCTATGCCCCCAGCCAACATACTCTTAGTGACTCCTAAGGTACAACTGGCCATCAGGCCTGTCAATCCACTCCACTGAGTTTCCGTGGCCCTAAATACGGCCACACTAGCAGACCCCTCTGATCTAACCTGAAAATGTCACCTTGTCCCCAAAGCCCGCGGCTCTTCAAGGAAACCTCATTTCCACCATCTGCCGACGCCTGCTGAGGGAGCAACACGGCACCGTCTAACCCCACACCTCCTGAGCAGCAGCTCTCCTCCTCACCGGCGCCTACTGTATGTGGAGCAAAATTTGCATCGGAAATCAGAGCAAAAGGACTGCCGGCTCGGTCTAAGAGTGACTGGTTTTAATGGCCTACAGCAGGAAGAAATGGAGGAAGTGAGATCAGGCGTGTAAAGGAAGGAGAGAGAAAACGAGGGTGGGACACTGGGGTAGACAGCCACATGAACACGTCACAGTCACCCAACAGGGATAACCTAGACCTCTCGCCACAACCTACGTCTTCATTAACAATGACAATCATTCAAATAGCATTACTACCGTAATGCTTTGGGAGCATGAAGGGAAGAAACTCCTGCTGAAGAAAGCAGCTTCCATACCTGCCTCTGTCCTGACATCATAATTCCACTGGACCTTCCACATTTATACCTGGCCTATATGCAATTTTACTTTATAAATCGAGACTGTTATTTTGGATTTCCTCTGCCGGCCCCTGGAGGATGGGCTCCCCCTTTGAGTCTGTTTCCTCCCAAGGTTTCTTCCTCCCAGGGAGGTTTTCCTTGCTACTCTTGCCTCTGGCTGAGTCTCTGGGACCATCGGGGAGGGATAATGTAAAGTGGTTTGAGACGATGTAATGTTGTGGAAAATGCGGCATAGAAAAGAGACTGAATTGAATTGAAAAGAAAATGATGCTCTGCATGCAGCACCCCAGCATCAGACGTCATGTTATGGAGGTGACCTGGTCAACGGTTCTACTTTACACCCTGCCAATGCAGCCCCAGAAACGCAGTTCAGTGCATCAGAGTTTCTCTCTCTCTCTCTCTCTCTCTCTCTCACACACACACACACACACATTTCTGCTTTTTCTCAATTACTGCCACTGGTTGCAAGTGGGGGGTTTGCAAGCAGTGAAATGCTTGGAGATCGCCATGGCAATACTGTCGACACTGCCACATACCCAAACTCCGCTATTGTAAAACATGCAAAAAAAATTCACATTTTTAAAATCAGTTTTTCATCCAGGGAAGGATTAACGCTTCCTAAATCCGTCCAAATGAGGTGCACTTATTTACTCAATGGGAATTATATCATAGCAGCAAAATAACAGATGTTGCCAGAGCATGCATGAAATCAACAGTTTAGGGAGCTTGGACAAAAACAGACTAAAACTAAGCCAAAACAGGAAGCAGATGAGTAGGTGTCTCTGTGCTAATAGGCTTGTATTTCTTTAATATGAGGCTCACTGAAGGTAGTTTTCCATACCCTAAGACCTCAGTTACCATCCTTTCTCACACTGCAAGCCAGACTGACACTGATGATGTGTCATTCTTGTGTCACTGCATCAAGCATTTACAATTTAGATATGTTTATCCAGAATGACATGGCTTGCAGATCTGGGTTTAGATATGCTCACTGGCTGAAACATGACTCCTTACGCACTCTCATCTTATAGCTTAGTCCTATTTACACTATAAGCTGTACCTTTGTGACATCATAATCAAGAAGTGCACCTTATTGACATCATAATCGATTGTAACGTAAGCCCTGTCTTCCTCATAGCATAAGCTATGCTCACAATAGCACCACAGTTCCTCAGAGCGTAAGGTACAACTCCTCCTAAGCTCAGATATTTGTATTTATCCCACGTCAGACTGCTTAGTGTCCACACAACATCAAGAATGTAAGCCTTAGGACATAACCCTTGCAAACACAGAGCTGCACATTTCCTGCAAAGCGTTGGCTTACACCACAACTCCCAAGAGATTTTTTTTTAATTAACAACCATTTACACAGTTTATCATTTCAGCCCAGGTATTTAATATTTAGTGGTATGAGTTGCCAATGGATACTTGAAGAACGTCCTGCAACCATTCACCCAGAATCTCTGAAGCACCATGTACGACCAGCAGAAGCTGAATCCTTCTGATTTTTCCCTTGACGCATTGTAGCAGGTGTCCCTCGCATGAAACATGCAGATCAGAAGTACATGCAAGCATCAATATGAGGTGGTCACCCAGAAGATGAGTCTCACTGAAAGAATGGCACCAAACTGTTACTCACAGTCAACCACCATAAAGAGCCTGAAAAACCCTGGCCAGACTAGGGAGGGTAGGAGGCGAATGTCACAGCGTTTATTCATAGCCAGAGTCACTGACTGTCAAGCAGGGGGCTGCGATACGTGTTCCTCTGGCATGGATGCTGGGCATCTGGTCCTATAACTCGGTGTGGCGTATGGACAAAATGGTTCATTTTCACTGTATTTAAACAAGCCTCAACAACATAAGAATCAAAGCAGTGATGTTTGTAGGCACACAAAACATTATATGGATATATAATGAATGTCTTGATAAAAAGTATAACCAAGAATACCCAGACTGGCTCCTTCTTAGTTTGGTAATAAAGGTTTAACTGAAGAAAACTAATAATAATTTAAGAATTAAAAATATAAATGCAATATTGCCTAGAGTCTTACAGCAGTCCTTGGCTGTGCAGCAATCCGTTGTTGATGATCATTAGTGTACAGTCTCTTGCAGTGATTAAATTATCATCCCACATGCACATGAAATTGTTTAATGAAACAATTAGATGGATGAAACGGCACACCCACCAACGTTTTCTAGACAAACCAACGAAAAATTAGAATGCATTCAAGGAAATCAACAACACAAACAGTACAAAAGAGAAACCAAGATTACACAGTAAGGACGCGATTCTCAGCATCGACAACATGTCCGGAATTTCCGATGTCTCCATGGTTCCAATTAGACGCCAGATAATTCCTTGTATCCCCCTTACTTAAGAACACCACTCCACCAACAACGAACAACTCGATGGCAATGAATAACTTCAAAATCTGAGTTGAATCAAATTTGGGGGGGGGGTGTCATTAAACAAAGGTAATAACTTCGAAACACATCTACGCCACAGATCAATAATCGCATGTGTAGAACGCGTAAAAAATCAAAGTTACCCACTCATAAATTCACTGTTTCCCTGCGCAATGCCCAGCCTGGAAACAGGGAGACGCATGGATAAGATCGCGGCGGCGCGGACGGATGAACGCGGACGCGCAGCGGCTCCGCACACGGGCCGAAGCGACACTGCCCTGGTCCAGCCCTTACCCTGCTTGACACACTTGAGCCGGATCGGGTCTTTGCAGTGCTTGACAACGGCCAGCACGTCCCTGGTGGTGAGCCCGGCCACTGGCGTGTCATTGACCTCCAGAAGCAGCTCGTCCTGGGACAGCTTGCCGCTCTGACAGGCTACCTTGCCCTGCTTCACCTCCCCGAGGTGGGGGAACTGGCCGTTCTCCGCACAGCCCTTGAGCTCGAAGCCCAGCTCGCCGTCTTTATTCCTGCCGAGGACGATCTCATGGACTTTGTTGGTCCAGTGGTTTTTCTTCTTCAGGCTCTTGGACATGGCTGGCAGGGACGGCGACGCGGTGAAATGTCAGCCCGATCTCCGCTTTGGGGGTTTTGCGCTGCGACCCCCCACCCCCTGGTGCAGCACCCCGGTTAGGATGCCAGGTGATCTCAGCAGCAGCAGTAGCAGCGTACGACACAAGCGGCCGCATCCATGGCAGGTCCGCTTCTTTACCTGGAGCCCGCTGGCTTGTGAAGGGGAGGGGGGCGGCGGCGGCTGCGTTACAATGTAACCGAGGAGGAGCAGCCTGACACTCGCAAGGCAGCCCACTGACCCGGATGTGAAGTCTGTAAGGAGGAGAGAAGCGGGGCTCCCGGTCTCCCCGCCGAAGATGAAAACGGGGAGGGAGTATGGAAGAAATGTCAGGTTGGGGGGGTATTTTCACTACGGCATCTAACCGTGTCTAGACTGCATATCAGCAGGGTGCGCTGTGCGTCTAGCGGCCGCCGGGGAGCGTCCCGGCCATGCGGCGCTGGATGGGCGATCTCCCGTCTATCTCGTCCTCACTGCTGGGCTGCTGCTGGTGTGAAAGAGGCTGCAGAAATCGGGGGGTGAGAAGGGGGAAATGAGGCTGTGTCACCCTCGATATTGCGAATCGCCCCTCAAGTCGCCGACATTTTTATCCGGCCGCGGTGTGTCCGCTGTCCGGGCGACTGGAACAGACCGAATCATTAACACGCTGTTAATCGCTATGGCGTTTCTACGCAGACTGTGAACTGCACCAGTAAGGATCGTGTGCTCTGAGAATATGGATAAACACGAACGAGTCGGACCTCCAGAGAGTCTTCATAGCAAAAGTTGAAATTGAAGATGACATTCTATTTTTTCTTTATTCTGCTGCCATGCTGATTTCTCACTGTCAAAGCACGATGCAGCAGTAAATAAGTACGCATTAATGCAACGCAACTCATCGTGTATATAAATGCGTATTCTTTTTACAGGATTTTTTTTTCTTTTCAAAAAGCCACCCTTTCGGATAAAACCATTTCATTTGAAATGCTACTACTCTCTTCTCTTTAGTATGCAGTAATATATTTATTATTATTATCATCATCATCATCGTCGTTGTTGTTATTATTATTGTTGTTGTTGTTGTTATTTAGCTTGCCCCAGTCATGGTAGCCGTAACACTCAGGTGTGTCTCAGTCAGTCTGCTCTATCTGCCCTCCACTTTAACGTCCCGCTGCACCAGCGTCCCTCCCAGACGGTGGGCTGAGAAAAGGAACACAAAACAGCCGTGTATAAATAGAGAGAGCCGGGTCAAGGCCGTCATTGTTGTTGTGATGGAAATAATAGTGAATAAAAGTGAATGTGAAATATAAGTATGTGATGAAGTAATCCCGGTGGGTTAGCTGGGTCACCAATCCCATGGAGATATTGACATAACAAAATCTACTTATAAAACCAAAAGTCTCTGCTGAAGTCCTTCTCTAATTTAGTGAATTTTTTTAAACTCTGCTTTAAAGTTTTCATGTTTACCTGATATACATATAAAATCTTTTATTTTAAAATTCTATTTCTACTTATTATGGAAATTCTGGATGTATATAGATACTTCTTGAATAACACATTTGTTAATGTAAGGCTCAGTGCTAGCCTTAAATATTTCTATAACTCTATCCATCTTCCAGCTGTTTATCTAGTGCAAGCTTGAAATCATCCTTATAAGATGACATTGCAGAATGGTGTGTGAGTGTGCCCTGTGGTGGGTTGGCGCCCTGTCCTGGGTTGTTCCCTGCCTTGTGCCCGTAGCTTCCAGGATAGATGGATGGATGGATGACATATCTCATATTCTATAGCCAATGACTAAATCCTGTTCCTCACCTTGATTGACCAGTTAGTCTAGCTGGCACATTTGCTGGTCTAAAGGCACATTTGCTGGTCCTGCTGGGGCACTATGTCATGAGTGTTTGCCGTTAGCCACTAGGCTACCTGCTGTCTGCTAGCCCCAGGCAGCTGATGCCCAGTCCACCCAAACAGAGCAGGCCTGATAATTGGTCAGCAAACCTTAAACAATGCCCTGTAAGGACCTTCTGCTGTGACTGCCGTTTCTTATTGCTGAGACGCAGTGGATAGACTTTAATGCAGTGGAGAGTGACTGCCGTTTCTTATTGCTGAGACGCAGTGGATAGACTTCAATGCAGTGGAGAGTGACTGCCTTTTCTTATTGCTGAGACGCAGTGGATAGACTTTAATGCAGTGGAGAGTGACTGCCTTTTCTTATTGCTGAGACGCAGTGGATAGACTTTAATGCAGTGGAGAGTGACTGCCTTTTCTTATTGCTGAGATGCAGTGGATAGACTTTAATGCATTGGAGAGTGACTGCCTTTTCTTATTGCTGAGACGCAGTGGATAGACTTTAATGCAGTGGAGAGTGACTGCCTTTTCTTATTGCTGAGGTGCAGTGCATAGACTTTAATGCAGTGGAGACTTTTGGGAGAATGTTGTGTCACATGGCAGCTTCCTCACGGTGATTGTGGTGAAAATTGGTGCAGCTCTGGGCCCACATGCAGGGCTCCCTGCTTCTGGTTTGCTGCATTAAAATTAAGCCTTATCACCATGTCTTTAAATCAGGCCAGGCATTTCCATCAGTCACGCCAGGGTGGCCTCTCCTCTCAGCACCCTCAGGTTGTGAAGCCCCACCCTGTTTGTTAAAGTATTCTAAAACCTGCTGACAATATAATGGAAATCAGATGAGAATAGAGGGTGACTTTATTACACTTTATTAATATTAATCTTCTCTGTTCAGTTGATGAATAATTCACCAGGAAATACATTTCTGCAATAAAGCTTAAACACTGGTTATCTGTTTTCTTCTGATTTTAGTTAGAATCATATACATAGGTTTCATGGGACACTGGGAAGGACACTGCTGCTTTACCTTTAATCCTGCACTGATCACTGACAGGACATGAATCCCAGACCTAAATCTGAGTCCATGATAAGAATAAGCATCTCAGAATTACGAGGTATGTAAAGACCCCAAAATCCAGGGTTAGTCACTCAGACAGGAGAACCTTCACCCACTGTGACATAAACTCTTCCATACTGTCATCCCTCAACTACTCTGTTATGCATGTTAACCAGAATAACTCACTGCTGTACAAGGTGAGTCTCGTTAATATAGGAGGTACCTAAAATAATTTCATTTACAAGGTCTGGCAAAATGACCCATACTAAAGACTTTTACTGTAATACCGTATAATGAAATGTTTCGGCGTACACTGGAAACAGTGGGGGTTTTAGTGGTAAATGAGGCAAGAGCATGTGCTTTGTGTCCCGTTGGGAGTTTTTGTAATTACTGCTACCGCAGAAACAGAACGATGCTCATCCAAACAGCCTCACCTTAGCCTCTCGTACTTTCGGGTCCCGGAGACGATCAAAAGGTTGCTCAGGTGAGCTGCAATGGGTCTCACACAGCAGAGAAGAAAACAAACCCCAAAATCCAAATGCTACAGCAGACTGGACAAGGAATTGGGCACTCAGTTCCTTTGTGAACTGGTGGAAGTATACATTCTCAGTGCAGAAGGACTGTGGCATCTAACAACACAACAGAAAATGTGCTAAAAATCTATTATTTCAGGAGCGTGAAAAACACATCTTCCTAGAAACTACTTTACAAAATAAAAACAAAACAATGTAATGAGACCCCTATGATACCACAAATAGAAAGCTGTCTTTACACAGCCATCAGTGAATGATTTAATGTTTTAAATGGACTTACATGGATTGTTGTCAGCGAGGCCAATGGATCAGTGTATACAAGATACAAAATAATCTTGATTTATATTCACAATTAACAATAATGTTAGCTGGATATCTAGATATCAATGTTAGGTTGTTAAAATTAGCGTATAAAGTATTCCATACAAATGACCATGATGAATACAAATGCTAACTAGTACAAACATAAATACCAGTTAAATAGATGACTTCATAAAACATCTTTTCATTGGTAAATTTTTTGTCAAACACTATCACTTGACAGAGGAGAACGGGCATAATTAATCTATTGTAAAACCTCAACATTACAAAAATATGCAGTTTTCTGTTACAGATAGGCATGATGAAGGGCAGATGATGCATTTGGTGAATGGTGGATGACCATAATCACACAGATTCAGGCTCTCAGTAGAAGAAGTCACACAGAGGCCAGATGCACAGCAGTTGGAGGTCAGTTAGCTCAGGGAATAGAGGAAGTTACCAGAAGACACCAGCTAGACTACATAGTGATGTAGAGGTCAGCCTCACAGCGGCGTTAAGCACATGGTGACAGGACTCACAGCGATGATAATCACATCAAAACTTAGGCCAAGTACATCCGGTCTGTGAGGTTAAAAGCAACTCTTCAGTCAATCATTGACACTTTGTATTGGCCCTTGCAGTAGAGGATATTTTTTGCAGAAACCTTTTAAAAAAAATGCAAGTCAGAAGGATTACAACAAAAAAAAAAAACAGGCTGGGCTGAAGAAGAGCAAGAATTCAGTTTCATGCGTAGAAGCAAGTCTTAGCTGTCTTAGCCAATCAGAAAAAGTCACAGAGGCCACTGTCCCCACTGCTAGCCAATCAGAAAAAGGCACTGGGAATGAAGGGACAGGATGAAAGCCTTGCCTTTGGTTTCTCTTCAGTTTCATCACTGTCGTTGGCTCCTTGCAAACCAGAGCTGAAGACCACAACCGTCAGCAGTGAGCAAAACCCCACTGAAGGCAGCACATTGTTTGTTAACTGATTAAACATTGGGGGGCACAGGAAAATGGGGAGATTCAGGCGAGATGATTTAATAACTGACAAGAACCTAATAGTCCCACTAATGGCTCTATTTTCCACCTGCGCAAAGCGCGACACAAAGTGGTTTTGCTAGTTTCTTACCAGTCCCTTGCTCATTTTCATGCCATCATCACATCACATCGTCAAAATAGTAAATGATTTTGTGCCTGCTTTCTGCTCGAAGGAACAGTGTTGCCAGGTCCAGCAAATTTTAGGTTTATAATGTAGTAATATATACACTGCTCAAAGAAATTAAAGGAACACTTTTTAATCAGAGTATAGCATCAAGTCAATTAAACTTCGGAACGCAGAAATGACGTCTGTGATGTAACTGGCACACGTATGGCACATGTACAGTACACAGCTGCGGAACAAAATGAGACCACAGCACAATTTTCTGTTTCACTAATTTCTCAATTTATGGGTGTGCTGTGAAGAAAATCTGTCTGTGAATAAAATCTGTCTGTGAATAAAACACTTTTTTTTTTGCAAACTGCAGCCGAGATCTCGCTTTCTCATTAATGAAGGGCTTCTTCTTTGCTTTATGGGACTTTAGTCCTGCTTCTAGGAGCCTGATATGAACTGTCCTAGCA